AAACTAACAAACACAGAGTATTAGCAACAACAAAAGGTGTGCAGGTTGGGCTGGTCCAACCCCATTTTGCCTAAACTTTAACCTAAAGTTGTATAAAACGATTAGATGAAACATTTGTTGAGCTTGGACTGACAAACAGAACACAATTAGGTTGAACTAAGGAATTTTTCAGTTTCTCAAAAACCAAAAAAAAAAAAAACAAAACAAAATTGCGGCAACCCATTAAGAATCAACCCAAATCAACCTAAATTCCGAACCTGAGTTGGCAATTGGAAATATAAAAATACAATTTCATTTTATATAGTTGGCTGCAGGCATATGGTACAAGATAAATAGATTTCTTCCGTTCTTGTCACTAGGTAAGTTCGATTAATCTACTCGCTTCACAAATCTCATAAGTTATATTTATACAACTATTCAATAATATATAGATGGTAGTCTTACAAAAATGATATATAGATTATAATTTGGTAATGACGTTCACCACATTAGCGAAGCAAGTTTCAGTTCAACCTAACTCATGTGGTTCCAGGTCCAAAATCTTATATATAGAAAAATTGAAACAATTGATATAAAAAAAATGATTTAAAACGATTCAATCGAACTAGATAAAGTCTTAAGAAAATAATCTTCCCACCTTCCATGGATAAATTCAAATTTTCGTTTTAGGCATTTGGCCATTTCTGATTCAACGAATACAGAAAAAGATGAAATATTGTATAAAACAATTAAAACGAAACATGATAACAAAATTGATTATATGTTGGTTGTGCTTTTACATGATACCATCTACCATGGAAAACAAAAAAGCAATTTAAATTCTGGAAGGTTAGTTAGGATGACGATAATTCCAAATAAAGATATAGTTTTTTTTTTTTTTCCCTTCTTTTTTTGCGATTAAATAAATTATAGTTTGGTCTGGAAAATAAAAACAAAACAAAGAAACAAAAAGGTACCAGTTCATGGTTAGGCCAGTAGCTATTTCTCCGCAACGCTGTTAATAAGTACGAAATAGCATATTAAATAAAAACAATAATATAAAATTGGTTAAAAATAAAAAGACAAAAAATCCTTCTTTTTTTCTTTTCAAAATATACGATTTATCTACACTAACGGGTGCAGCATGGGGAAGTATACTAAGTCTCGCAATAAGTTAGCCGTAATAATTCAACGAAAATCGAACCTAAGACCTCTTACTTACAAATAAAGATGAATTCCCATAAACCGTAATATTAAGTGACAAAGAAACAAAAAGTCTTGATACTTGATAGAGTATATTGACTGTATTGCCTACAAATGGTGTGTGTAGGGGTACCTCTAAATGGGGCACCAAATTGTTAGAGCAAGTCCATTCCTAAAAATGCGCTCGCATCCAACTCATTTAATCCACTCAAATGAATAGTGATTGACTCCAATGAACAATACTTGACCAAATGCATTTCCATCCTTAAAAAACGCATTGGCACACAGTCTAGTAAATTAGTATAAAAATATTATTAATTTTTTATAAAATAATAAAAAAAATAGTTTTAATTTCAGATAAGATTTTTAACCAATCTTGTCACACCACGTGTCATTATCTGAAAGTATTATTTTGTGGATAAATTTCGATAAGATTTTCAACCAATCCCGACATGCCATGTGTCATTATCTATTTACAATAATTTAGCCAATATTTCAATAAGATTTACAACCAATCTTGTCACGCCACATGTCATTATCTGAAAGTACTATTTTGTTGATAGATTTCCGATAAGATTTTCAACCAATCCAGACGCGTCACGTGTCACTATATGTATTTTTAAACAATTTTTATTAATTTTTTTATTAATTATTAATAAGTTAATTAATTTGGACCATTTGATTTGAAAAATATTGAAATCCAACAGCCCGGATTTGGACACGTGGCCAACGCCCATAATTCTGACCGTTTGTTTTTTTTTCAATGTTTTTTGGTCGAAAATCTTGGAATCGGACGACCCAGAATGCGCCACGTCACTAGCCAATGGTTTCGAATTTCAAAATTTTTTTACTGTTGGAAATCCAAAGGCCGAAGACACGCCACGTGGCTTCTCCCTGCTCCCCGTTATTGCACTGCAACAGGGAGCCTTGTGGTCTTTTTCTTGTCGAGAACGCGCGCCTACGCGCATGTGTTTCCCAAGCGCTTGACCTATAAAAACCCAATATGTCTTGATGAAGTCATCCTGATGCCTGCGTGACGTCACATAGGCCGGGACATTGCTCAACACGTTTTGGGCCAGCCTACATGCTGGCTTGGGTTGTGGGCTGGCCTATTTGGTTCGGCTGGAGTGTATTTTGTGTAGGCTAGCCTATTTTTCAGGCTTTGTCCTAGCCTACCCCATTGAGGTGGAGTTGCTCTTATGAAACATCTAAATATAGGACACTAATGTTATTTGTTCTACATATACTAACAACTTGGCCAACAATATAGTCACCAAATATGATACATAATGTCATGTTGTATGTAATGTGTAAGTGCCTAAATTCCACAGCCAATATTTTTTTTTCAATTTTTCAAAAAGAAAATTTCTTTTTTCTTAAAATTGTGATATAAGTATTTTTATAACAAATAATATACAATTTAATTACACACAAATAGTGTGTGAGCATATAGACTAGTATGAAATAATTATTGTTGACACTGTAAAAAAAAATTATTATGCACTTACATGTACAAGAACATATGAAAAAGAAATTACACTTCAAAGAGTGCAAAATAATTTTTCACATCACCAATAAAAATTTGTGAATAAATTGATGCTAGCCTCTTGCCACATGTTAATCATATGGCAATTGTTTTTTTTTTTTTAATTGATTCAAAATACTAATTTTATAGTTATTTTAAATTTCAAACAAATAAACAATAAAAACGTTTTAAAAATTCAAAAAACAAATATAAAAACTTATGAATTTTTAATTTATTATTTTAAATTTAATATTTTAATTAGAGAGGGGCATTCTTAAGCTTCATCATTTTAGAGTGCTAGCTTTATATATATTAGAGAGGGGCATTCTTAAGCTTCATCATTTTAGAGTGCTAGCTTTATATATATAGATAAGATATAAATATATATAGATAATCAAGGGGCGTATTGAAAATCTTTATTTGGTTTTCCGCATGTATTTTCTTTCTCTTCTCGTTTTGCCTAGCAATTGCTATTTTTTATATTATTTTATTATTTTATCTTTTAGACAATGCTATTTATGATGTTTAATTTTTTTAATGGTCACTTAGTACTACGATATGGTGATATTATTTTTTACTTGTAAGTGAGAGGTTCTAGATTCGATTCTCGCCAAAGTAAATTTAAATCACATAATATCGTTTGTTAAAAAAAAAATCCTAAAACATTTATTAAGAAAAAAGATCATTTATTAAAACAAAATTTTCTACTTATGCCCCATGTTATAAAAAAAGTCTGAAAATGTCGAATGGAGAAGTTCATAGGCCCACAACCATCTATAATACAAGGTTAGGCACTGATAGGTTAACATTACGGTTCATATAGAACATAGTTGACATACCATGTAGGGTAGACGACCAAATACCCCAAACTATCACGAAGTTGTCAATTGCCCTCTTAAACTATTTTTCTTGCTAATTTACTCCCTTGATTAGTACGAGGCTGCTAATTACCCGCATGTCATTAGATTTTAAAAAATTTCATCCAATTCTCATCAAATGGTGTCATGCAAGAGGCACATGACACAAGTCAAGGACAAACTTGAAATTCGACTGGAGAAATCAATAAGATTCAAGAGAATTTCGTCCAAATAGTTTGGGGGAAGGGAGTAATTGACATCTTTGTGATAGACCTGGTGGGTTTTTTGCACTTGGAAATACGTCACATGTCTCTCACATGATATCACTTGCAAGGTTTTATGAGTTTTATTACTATGTATTCTTCCGTTTGCTTTGAGACTCTCATTTACTCATTGTACCAACGACTTCATCAATTGCTTTTACTTCGTTGTTGAAGACTTGATGTGACATTTTATTTGAGTATTTATACACTCATGGGAGATTGTTGCAATCCTAATTTAATTAGGAATGTGATTATGTAAATCATTATTGGATTCTACAATATCTTTTAGATAAGGGAAAAGATCCTCTCTGGATCTCTTCCATTCAAATCCGAAGGATCCTTCAATCTTAGCCGTTCAAAAGAAAATCAAACGGTTAAAAAAACGTTTTGACGCCATCGGAATAGGAAGAAGCTACGATGGCAGCAGCGGCTATCGGATCTTCTACATCAAATCCCTGACGATGGTGTTGACGGCGGGAGGGGTTGAGGGGCGCGGAGGTGAAGGAGATGACGATGTCATTGGGATCGTACTAGGGATTGATGGCTTCATGGTCCTGTTTGATGCAATGTTGAGATCGTGGCTTCGCAGACCTGTTCGAGGAAGAAGATGAAGCTACGATGGTTTCGCGGCTGCGCTGAAGGCGAGGGTTGACATAACACACACCTCAAAATTCACCAATTCTCCCTTCATTATTATTATAAATAAATATACAATGAGTTGACATAACACATACCTCAAAATTCACAAATTCTCTCTTCTCTCTCTTCTCGATGCACCCTCTCTCCCTCCCTCGATAATCCTTCAGTTAAATAGCCTATAACATCGTAACCCAAAGTTAATAATTCATTGGACAACATTGATGAACTTGAGTAATGCGAGACACATGAAATTTAAAGGAAAAAAGTGAAATTAGTTGCAACAAAAGGGGGGTAAAGTGATACGTATGCTATTGTTCGGGGACATTTTGATAACAAAAATGAAGACATGCGTTTTTCATTAATTAATACTTTAAGAAAAATAAAATTAAGATAATTTTTTCCTATTTTACCTATAAAAAATAATAATTAATAAATAAATAAATAAAAAGAAGAAGAAGAGGTTGTTCATGATACGTTTCATCCTTTCCCAGTGTCGCTAAAAACCAACGCAAAATTTACACAACACAACCCAACCCTCTCGTCCTTCCTCTCACCCAAACCCAAAGTTCTCTCCCCCCCTCTCTCTCCTCTCGCGCAAACAAGACTAACAAAACCCTATTATTTCAGACTCTCACAGCACTCTAACCCCATTCTTCGTTTCCCCCAATCCCCCCTCCTCTCCTCTTCCGCCGCGCTTGCTCTCGCCGCCGCTCTCCCCCTCTCTCTCTCACCTCCGTAACTCTGAAACTCTCTCTCTGGACTCTGAAACAACGCATTGTTTTCAATAGAGAGAGGATATACCGGGGGCGGTTATTAAAACGGTTACGTTTTGGTTAATCGCCAAATCACTGCGCGGGGCTAGGGTTTGTTCTCTCTCCTCTCTCTGTCTCTCTATCTCTAAATTTTTTCGTATCGCTTTGGTGGAATAATTTGGGGACTCTGCAATCGTAGGTCTATTGGGAGTTCTATAGAAACAGAGAAGAGATATACAAATATAACATATATATATATGTGCTAGGGTTTCAATTTCAGCGCATTTACTCGGCGTTCAGTCCCAAATTTTAGGTTTTTTTAATCGTCTCCGTGAGATTGAACCGTTGGATGGGTGTGAATTTTCGTGTGACAATCATGGGTTGTTGTTATTCATTGTTGGCCTAGTGAACAAACACCCAGTTGCTTCTATCTCTATTGGGCTTGAAGATGAGGTTCTGCTGAGATTGCAATTCCCTTCTGCAAATCCATCTTTCAATTGAAGATGGAGGCGTAGACTGTTTTTCCCCCTTTATATTCTTTGGGTTCCGTTGTTTTCGATACCATCGTGTTGCAATTCGAGACATGCACCTTGTTCTTGGCATTTCCTTTGTGTTTGCACCTTGGTTAGAATCTGTTTCGTTTTCTAAGTCCCATAGTGTTGGTAGATTGTAGTATATAACCCATTCAGTTGGTAAAATCGTAGCAATATCGGAGACTGTTTACTTGATTAACTGGCAGCGGCTGGGAAGCAGGATTGGTTATTTAGGGGAAACGAAAGTTGGACTTTGGCTCTTCTATATTGAAGAGTACCTTCTGGGTACAGAACTTGTGGATATTTTCATCTTTCCATAAGTTTGACAGAAGCAAATTCTAGTTGTGATAGATACGGATAAAGCAACCAGCTCTTATTGTAGTGAGGAGTACAATTTGAGTTGTGGTACTCACTTGCTTATCTTGGTTGAAGCAAGATTGGCTCTTGAAGTGGAAGATAGAAATATTTTTGTTCAAACTCGGTATATCTGTGTCCAAATATAATAAGTTTGGGGTAAAGGACAGAGGTGGTGGAGAAGGTGAGAAGTGTTTCTGTTGTTATAGCTGATCATGTTCACTGCTCCTTATGGAAAGAAGTGAACCCACCTTAGTTCCAGAATGGTTGAGAAGTACAGGAAGTGTTACTGGGGGTGGCAGTTCAGCCCACCACTTTGCATCATCATCTTCTCACTCAGGTACTTTCCGCTATCCAAGTTTTATGGTCCCAGTGTTTTCCTTTTAATTTTATTCATACACATGCATGCTCACACATACATACTGCGGAGGCTTCTATTACAATGGAACTTTTGGGTACATCGTCTGACTTAGGTTATGTTTGTAATTCTTATACAGATGTTTCTTCTTTGGCTAATCACTTGCGAAATAGAACCTCAAAGAGCATAACTGATTTTGATACACCGCGCTCTGCTTTCCTGGACCGTTCTTCCTCCTCCAATTCCCGGAGAAGTTCTAGTAATGGTTCTGCAAAGCATGCTTACAGTAGTTTTAACAGAAGCCACCGTGATAAGGACCGTGAGAAGGAAAAAGAGAGATCAAATTTTGGAGACCATTGGGACCGTGACTCTTCTGACCCTCTAGGAAACATTTTTACCAGTAGGGTTGAGAAGGATACATTGCGACGCTCTCAGTCTATGGTGTCCAGGAAGCAGACTGAGCTTTTGGCCCGAAGAGCTGCTATTGACTCAAAAAGTTCCGGTAATAGCAATCATCACAATGGCAATGGTTTGCTTTCTGGTGTTGGAGTTGGTATTCAAAAGGTTGTGTTTGATAAGGATTTTCCCTCACTTGGAACTGAAGAAAGGCCAGCTGCACCTGATATTGGAAGAGTTCCATCTCCTGGATTTAGCACAGCTGTTCAGAGCTTGCCTGTTGGTAGTTCAGCTTTAATTGGTGGGGAGGGATGGACCTCAGCTCTGGCTGAGGTCCCTTCTACTATCATTGGGAGCAGTAGCTCAGGATCCTTTCCTGTTCAACCAACTGTTGCTGCTACTTCAAGTTCTGGGGCTTCAACTGCAATGTCTGGTCTTAACATGGCTGAAGCATTGTCACAAGCTCCAGCAAAAGCCCGCACTGTTCCTCAGGTAACTGAAGTTTGATTTGTCTCGTGCTATTTGAATAATATGTGCCTGTAGTTAATCTGATGAGACACATTCTTTTGTAGTTGTCTATCAAGACACAGAGGCTTGAGGAATTGGCAATCAAGCAATCAAGGCAATTAATTCCAGTGACACCTTCGATGCCCAAACCTTCTGTAAGTAAATTCCCCTGATGTTCGCTTCAGCTTGTTTTGATAGATATTAAACTTTCGAATTCTAATTTATTAGACAGTTCTTAGAGTAATATTTTATTGGTTATTTGTATTGTTCAAGACGGTGTTCTTGTTTTATTATTTATGTTGTTTACCTTAATGCTTCTCAACTTATATATTTGCATTTTTTACCTTACCATTGAGCATCAAGGAATTGTGTAGAAAAACCAAGTTGTTATGTGAGAGTGCAAGCTACATGGTGACCTTTTCCTCATGTACCTTTTCTTTGATGCTTAACCTTAGTTTTCCATTCTGAGTGGGCCAACAACCACATTTCAGCATGCATTGGTAAACTTGGTAGTCAATTTCTTGAAATTTTCTTTTAGCCTTTTCATCTCCCGTATATCAGTAATTTAGGTTAATGGTTGGGACTAATATTACCTTCGTTGACATTGAACTTCACGATCTCACTTGTAGTGCAGAGGCATATGGAAGAGGTCAAAACTGAATATTGTAGGATTGATGCTATAATTGTGATTAGATCGACCTTTCAAGTTACAAGTTATAAATGTTTTGAGTTTTATGTCTGATAGCAATTCTCGTTTACTTGAGTTTCTATTCTTAGTCTGAATGGGGATGTAATTTTAGATTCATTGACAGTTGCTAGTTTAGTAGTTTAATTTTATTCTAAAACTATGCAAGCAAGTTGATCTTGTGGCTTTGTTTGGTTTGGCTCCATTTATTTCAGAGACGCGACAATCTATTTTATAACTTAGGTACAGTTGGGTTGGTTCCATTTCTGTCTTCTGATGCTCATGTTCCCTGGGACTTATTCCCTCTCAACCTCTCTTCTCTTTGTTCCATGCATGATGGGGATTTTGGGAGTAGGTGGACATGATAGTTTGTTGCGGAACTACTACTCTTGGAGATTTTTTTCCTTATTTTTTTTATGTTGTTGTAGGTACTGAATAACATATGGGATACTTTTGTAATTTACCTTGTAAGAGACATTGGTTATGTGTCAAAACAATGCAACCTTAAATTGCTGTGGTACTGTGCGCACATAGTAAATGTATTTGTAAATACGACCATTGAATTTACCAGCTTTAGAAGCCTTTACTCTTTTGAGTTCTGGTAATAATTATCTTATTTCTTTTCAGGTTCTCAGTTCGTCTGACAAATCAAAGCCCAAAGCAGCAGCTAGACCAGGGGAAACAAATGCGCCAGTTAAGGTTGGACAGCAGCAGCCCTCTCAATTGCACAATCAATCTCTTCGTGGTGGCTCTGTCAAGTCCGATGCTCCAAAGACTTCTAAGTTCCTTGTTCTCAAACCAGTATGGGAAAATGGAGTCTCCTCTTCACCAAAGGATGTCACTAGCCCAACAAGTAATGCTAGCAGAGCAGCAAATAGCCCACTTGCTGTTGCTCCCCCAGTTGCATCTGCTCCCTTAAGAAGCCCCAACCAGCAGAAGCTTTCATCTGTGGAGCGCAAGGTAGCAGCCTTGGATCTGAAATCTGGATCCACGTTGGAAAAGAGACCTTCTTTGTCTCAAGTCCAGAGCCGGAATGATTTCTTCAAACGCTTGAAGAACAAAACCTTGATCAACAGTACAATTACTCTCCCAGATTCAGCCCCTATCATTTCATCTCCCACTATGGAAAAATCTGGTGAAATAACTAGGGAATTATTCAGTAATCCTGCGAGCCCTCACACCATTGAAAATGGTGCTCTGGTGACTGGCAATGGTGATCGCTCTGAAGATGTTCAGAAGTTTTCTGATACTGGCCCCAGTGCGGCAGTTTATCCAGACGAGGAAGAGGCTCGTTTCCTTCGATCTCTTGGTTGGGAGGAAAACTCTGGGGATGATGGTGGCCTTACGGAAGAAGAGATAAATGCATTTTATGACCAGGTAAAGAACTCTTTTCTGGCTCCAGTAAGGGTTAGGTTGCTCCAAAGATGGGATCTACCAAGCTGATCTGAATTGACGTATTTGAGTTTAAATATTTTGTTGTTTAAGAATTTAATTGGTGCAGTGTTTCGTAGTTTGTTATTGTTTGAAGTCTTAAAAATTTGTTTGCAATTCATTAACTCTTTGCCTGTGCTCTTTCTTGTGCAGTACATGAAATCACGACCATCTATGAAATGCCGAGGCATGCAGCCATAGCTTGCTGTGGTGTCTGAATCTCCTGCGACTGATTTGGGCGAGGCTCGGTCTGAATTGAGGTCAACTGACTCTGTGTCTGAAGCTTGATTTACTTTTTCCCTTACACAGATCCAAGAATTTTCAATTTTTTGATGGCAGATGGTTAGTCTCTTCTCTCTTTTGTTTTGCAAAAAAAAGAAAAGAAAACTGATGAGTTTCGGTTATGAAAGAAGAGAATGGGTTTCGGTTCGAACTCTGGATTCTGCAAATAGTGCAATAAGTTACAGGTGCCCCAATCCTGTCCGCCTAAAATGGTTTTTTTTTTTCTTTTTCTTTTTTCGTTTAGGTTTTAAATTTAATGGGGAGAGATAGGTTAGGGGCTATTTTGTCTGCAGTGGAAGAAGAATGGGGAATTGATATTTTGGTGTATTTTGGTCCTTTTCTTCATTTTTTCTTTCAGGAGGGTTTTCATTCTACAAGAAAAAGCTTATGATGTTTTTTGGTCAAATTTTACGGAAAAGAAATCGAAATGGTTTATTTTTAGTTTTAGTTCTTCTTGGTATGAATGTTTTTGCAGTCGTTTTTATTTGTTCGATGGTTCTAAGAACTTCGATGAATAATGCAACAGAAGAAATTGATTATGGATTTCATTCTCATGTACAAATGTGTGCAAATAAAACCACAAAATGTGAAGTTGTGACATTCAGATGTTTGTCATGAACTCTAAGGCAGAATTAGTGTGTGTTGGCAGTGCTGAACTGAAGTAGATAGAAGTGCTTTTTGGAGAATCGCTGTCAACAAAAGTAGGAGGACTAGATCGTGCCCACGGTTGAATTTGCCTTGCCATGAAAAGATTCTTATGTGTTTGGTACCTATTTATGATGACCCATTGCACAGTTCCCTAATTCCCAAATCCACTATCGGATTTTATCGCTTATACCTAGAAAAATAAAAGTTCTCATGTCACTTAACTAAAGTTGGTTGGTATAAATGTTATGTTAGCTAATGGATTTATGTCCTACTAATAAGATGTGGTACAAAATATAGGAATACGGGTGTCTACAATTTGCACCCTCGTAATTTACAATACACAGGTCATTTAATTCTTATTTTTCTAAAAAAATGAAGATTAGTTGTGGGATCTACTTTACATCGAACTTCAAAGATTCGAATCATTTATTTTGGAAGTCTCGATTTATAGATTATTCTAGCAAAAATTTAGTTCAATCAAAAACAATTTGCCTAGTTAATTATAATGATGAAATTTCATTATTTTTTATAGAACAAAGTGTTCGTCAATTTCTTTGAACTCAATTAGATGTCTCAAATATTCCCAATTTCTTTGAACAAAGTGTGGTATTCAACTTCACTTGTAAGTGAGAGGTCTTATTCTTGATTCTTGCTATAGGCGAATTTGTACCACATTATTGCTAACCCATTATGAGGCTTAGTCCATGCCCATCCCTTTAATATCGTTTGTTCAAAATATAAATAAATAAACAGTTCAAATCATTGAAATTCAATATGATGTTAGTCTCATAATTAGTCTCCACTTTAAAAAACAAATGGAGACCCTTCCCTTAAAGGGTTCCATGATGTTTAATAATTTGGTCTGTCGTTTAAAATGGACACTTTACTGCCCTAAGGCAATGAATTATTACATTGACCCTCCCATCGAGTTAAAAAGCTCCTTTTTACATGGAACTGTGGTAGTAATTAGACGAACCCAATCGGGTGCAACCTGCCGGAGTCGTTTAAACTCGATCCCTACGTTTTTCTTTTGTTGTTGTCAACTGAATTATTTTGCACCACTCTGGGTGTAGTGGATGCTTGTATTTTCGATCTTTCTTGTTTTTTTTTGGGCAAGTGCTTTTACTTAATTAAAGAGATGGGAATTAATGAGCTTTACTTTCATGCCACTGGCCGAAGTAAATACACGTTGTAGATTTTTTTGTTCTTAACTAAGTTACCCTTTTTTTTTTTGTCAAAAGATATATTTGGTTAGATCAAATACTAGATTAACCACCGACAGAGTTTGAACTCACACCGTCATGCAAAGACTCAACACCTTTCTATCACTGCGATAAATGGTTACTTGCAACTAAGTTACCTTTTAAAAAGAAAGACATGGTTCTATTTTAAATAAAAAAAATTACAAAGATTTCTGATCGCATGATGTACAATCAACAGATGTGAGATCATCACAAAGAGGATTTGAGAAGGATCCTCACTCTAACAACATGGTCAAACATCTTCATGATTAGACATTTTTATTATAGTTTTTTTTTTCAAAAGACAACTGGTTCTGAACTACAATTATTCACCCCTTAAAACATATGAAATACTTAAAAAAAAAATAATCATGTCACAATTACATGTACGGAAGAGTTAATCATTAAAGTAAATAAAAAAAGTCATATTTTGACTTCTAAAAATCAAAAGACCTTAGGGGTAGATTCGGTCTAAGATCTTAAAATAACTAGGGGAGACAAAACCTTGCAAAGGTGAAAGAAAAATAAAAAACTTAACACATAATTAACTAAGAGACATCAGACATCTCTCCACATGGAGAAGAGACCTGAGTTATGCATGCACATATTATTCTAAAAATCTCCGTTTAGGCACTAGGTGGTTAGTCACAATTCTATTTAATGTTTAGGTGTTTGAAAATTAAGAAAGCGCATAGAACTGCTGAGGCGTCCGCTTAGCCCGCCCAAACCAGCCTAGGCACCCACCTAAGTTGCGACTCACTTAGACAAAAAATAAATAACTTTCATTTTGTATTTTATTTTTTACAATAATTATTAGGGACTTGTTGTATACATAAATGAACACATTATATGCTTGTTCTCCATGTTTTCATTATGTTCTAATACTTCATAATATATATATATATCATTTTACTTGTAGTTTATGATGAAATTATATATATATATATATATATATATTTTTTTTTTTTTAAGTATAAACAAATACTTATATTCACGAAATATAATAGATTCACTTAAATCTGTCTAGGCGCTAGGCTCCAGCATGCTGCCCGACTAGCGTTTAGCGTTTTTTAGAACTTTATGTATTTTTAGGAGAAAAACCTCTTGGAATCAGAGGATGTTGCAATGAATAAGATATATATATGTTTGGGAGATAGAAAGAGATAAGAAAAAATAACAAATTGCCGTGATAATTTTCTTCAATTATACAAGACATGTTATTTTTCTATGCAAAATTTCTCATATAACACATTGATCAATATAAACATAACAGATGATGACTTTAATCTTATATATAAGGCACTTTTTTTCTAATTCAACTGTTGACATTCGTGAAATCTTTGTAATTTATTTTAGTGCTTGTAAGTAAAACAAAGAGACTGAACAAACTCTTTTTTTCTTTTTTACAAACTATTTTATTTATTTATTATTTTTTACAAACCATAGTTTTAGTGAGTTAAATTATTAAATGTTAGAAGTAGAGGATCTGTAAAAATCGAACTTACACCAGAGTTTAGAGAAATGCTAAGGAAACTATTTTAAAGTAAAATTCTCTATAAACTCTTTAATATCTTACAATTGAATGTTAATTTCAATACTAATATTATAAAATATTATGTAAAAAATAAAGTTGCAGAGAGCTTCGATGAATGCCATTTTTGAGAAAGTCACTTACTATTACTTTCAGCCATGGTGCAAGAAAAAAAGTTAAAAAAGAGAATTGTTGCCACTTAGTAGGACTATTTAAATTATTTAGATGGTAACAAATTAAAAATAGCATCTTTGTTTAAAAAAAGCTAAAACTGTGCCAAATTTAGACAATTGACTCGGTGAAAGCCATGCGTCCCTCCAATGAATGAACGCCACGTGTAAAGCAGTGCCGCTGTACGAGTTCAAATGTGTAGCGTCACTCCACGCTACAGTGGACCCCACGTATAAGAAAAAAAATCTCCTAAAACGTACCGTCCTCACTCACTCCCTGCAAAAAACGAGAATCTCTCTCTCCTCTCTCTCTCTCTCTCTCTCTCTCTCTAGAAAAAACTTTTTTGGAAGAAAAAAACAAAAAACCAAAAAAAAAAAAAAAAAGAAGGAAAAAAAGTGGATCCGAAAGTATACGAACCAGAATATAACCGTAACCCTAGCCCTATCCCAGCCGCGACTCACCTCACCCACCGCCGTTTTCTCTCTCTACCTCTCTCACTCTAAAACGAGTCTTCAAATTAGGGTAGGGTTTTTTGTTGGCTGCATCTTGGGGATTGGAGAATCATAGGTCGATTGGGATTAGAATTGGGATTTTTGAGAAATTAGGGTTAGGATAGGTTTAGGGATAGGATTTTGGCGATGGAATTTATGGTCGGTTGTGGGTCGGGGGGTTGTTGGTGATGACCGGAGGCCGATGTCACGAGAAGAAGATGATGGGTAGGGGTGCGGACGGAGGTTGCGGCACCGAGGAGAGGCCTTGCCCAATTCCTAGGGTTCCGCCCAAAATTCCGGCGACTCAGCCGGAAATTCTCGAGAAGTCGTCGAGCTCTTTGAGAATTGATTTTTTCTCACAGGCTAAGAAGGCGTTGTGTGAGCGCTCGCCTTTTGATGTTGCCGAGGACGGCTCAGCTTCGAGTGTGCCCACCACCTTGCCTAGGGGCTTGGCTAGCTTTTTGTCGAGGCAGTCGGACAGTCGGAAGCGGCATAAGAAGTCGCATGCGGGTGCGGAGAAGAAGAGTTCTCGGCAGAGCGAGAGGTCCCGGTGTAACAACATTTGGGTGGAGACTGAGGATTACTTTAGACCCTTGACATTGCCTGATATCGACGCCTTATTTCAGGTATCTGAGCTTAGTAATTTAGCTTCTCGCAAGTGTTTTTCGATTCCGGTTGTTGGAAATGTTCCAAGGCGGAATGCAAATGAGAACGTTAATGCAAATGGAGTTGCTGTCAGTGAGGACGATGCAAGTGGTGGCAAGTTAAATAGTGTTGTTGTCAAGGATGAGAGTATAAATGGGGGGAATGCAAATGATTCCCATGTTAAGTATGAGAATGCAAACGATGGGGATGCTAATGATGGTGTCGTCAAGGCCGAGTGTGCGAATGATGGGAACGCCGATTCAGTTTCAGTTGAAAACGTGAATGAGAATGGTGGAAATGAAAATGGGGTTGTCGAAGATGAGGCCAAGACAGAGAAGGATGAGCATTCCATGGAAATTGATTGTGTGAGAGCTTCTGGGTTGCCTGTGGGGGGAAAGGGTAGTTTTAATTCATATTCTCCCAGTGGTGTTGAGTGGCTTTTAGGATACAGGAATAAGATTTCTTTAACATCAGAGCGCCCGTCAAAGAAGAGGAAGGTTCTGGGTGCTGATGCAGGGTTGGAGAAAGTGTTAATAGCCTCTCCATGTGATGGGAGTTCATCTTTATGCCATTTCTGCTGCATGGGTGATGCAGGCAAAGAGTCAAACCGATTGATTGTCTGTAGTTCTTGTAAGGTTGGAGTTCATCAGAAGTGCTATGGAGTGCTAGAGGATGTACATGCATCATGGTTATGCTCTTGGTGTAAGCAGAAGATGGATA